GGAGGGTTGGGAGTTCTGGGGGAGGGCTGTCGGGGTGGAGAGTGGTTGGATGGGGCGTGGGAGTCCCAGGAGTCTGTCAGGGGGTGGGGGTGTGGATAAGGGTTGGGGCAGTCAGGGTACAGGTAGGGGGTAGGGTCTTAGGGGGCCAGTTAGGATGGGGGGAGGGTCTCAGGAGGGGGCAGTCAGGGGACAAGAGGCAGGGAGGCTTAGGTAGGGGGTGGAGTCCTGGGAGGTAGTTAGGGGCAGGGGTCCCAGGAGGGGGCAGTCAGGGGACAAGGAGCGGGGGAGGGTTGCGGGTTCTGAGGGGGGCGGGAAGTGGGAGGGAGTGGAAGGGGCAGGGACGGGGCTAGGGCAGGACGGGGGCGGGGCTCCTCCAGTCCTCTTTTTTGCTTGCTGAAATATGGTAACCCTACAGGATTTACAGTTTGCTTCAATGTATACACTATACACATTGTTCCAGCACCCCAGTCCATTCGATGGGTGTATTAATAACTGTTGCTAAACTGAAAACATACTACAGAGGTATCCAGTAGTGGACCTTAAAAAATTCCTTTTAGTACTGGTAGATTTTTTTCTAACACTGGTCCTGGCCCAGTGACCAGAAAGAATGAAAATGTTGATCTTTGCACCCTCAAGTATAGTCCAATGGAAGTAGGGTTCCTCTGGAACACAACACCAAACCAAATCAGCCCAGATCTATTGTGAGAATTAAGTTCTTCAGACCATTATGATGAACATCACACAACATTTAGGTGTTTTCAAAAACCACGTGGACACCTTAGATTAGATTTACTGATGGGAAATCACTGATTTCAGTTAAAGATCATTAAGTAGCTGGTTAGTATTTTATACAGTTAGCAGGAGTAGGCTTGCTGTATGGGAAAGTTAAGAGGGACCCTCCCACCCCCCATTAGGCCATTTAAGGCCCAGTATTTTTCTATTTTTATAAAATCGTTTTCTAAATCCTTGTGTTTCCTGTGTATCTAGAATATTAGCTCCATCAATGGTTTGTTTAATTTTTTAAACTCACTCCTGGCATGGATTGGGAAAGTGGCATGGAACATCCTCCTGACTGGGCAAAGGCAGGAGAAACCACAACCTTTCTTTTCAGATGAGAAAAAACCACTTCAAAATATGCATTCACCACCTCCAGATTAGACTCCATCTGGGCTGAACATGACTGCACCAAGGAGCTATTTTCAAGCCATGCACTTAAAGGCAGGAGTAAAAACACAAGCTTCACTGGCTATTTATTTGGTTGAATTTAGGGTCCTCATTTAAAGCAGTTAGCAGAGTCCAAGCTACCTCAAGGAACTCCCATCCATTCACAACCTTCCAAGACATCTATGCTTCATCTAGATTGGACCGGGTAAGACATCTTGCAGGGACAGAGCATTTTCAGAAACAGGACACCAGTTGTGGAATCCCTAACAGGAGATTATGTCAAATCCGACCCTGATGATGTTCAGATCAAACTGCCTTACTAATTTGATATGGCTGCCGCTAGTAATGGCATTTTCACAGGACCAAGCCACAACTGGGGAAATTGAATGGAAAGAAGTGAAACACAAGGAAGGAATCAGGGAGAGGAGGAAAAACCACAAACATGCACTCCAGGATCTAGGGAGCCTATGAGAAGGTGAGCATTTAGAGCACAGTCAGAGCTGACTTTAATTGTTGTACAGCACTTCAGATCCCTCGTGCCAATATCTGAGACCTGGTATATAAAAATAGTTATAAAAAATTATATATACACAGTACACTACACTGAACTTCATGAAACATTTTTAGCTATAAGTCCCAAAGCATTCTGAAAGATAGGCAAGCATCCCTGTTTATAGATGAGTGAAGTGTGGTTAAAGCAGAAAGTTTTAGAAGTCTGCACTCAAAAGCATGTGTGCATGATGTGTCTTTGTAATACACCCAATTTGTACGTGCAAATCAGGGATCCCATTGTGCTCACTTAACCTTCACTCATTTATGTGCATCCAGTATTTGCATTCAGAAGTGCCATAGGAACTTCTGAGTGCAGACTTTTAAAAATGTAGGCCTTCGTGACACACAAGCTCACACTGTCAAGTCATTGTCACATCCAGGAAGGGAACTCAATTCAGCATCTGAATCACTGGACCAGGTAACACCTAGTTGCTCCCCCTCAATCCTCCCATTATCATCTGGGTCTGCATCCTGTCTTCTCTCTACCCAACTTGTAGAACATAAGCTCACTGGTGCAGAGACTGTCTAAATCTCTCTGTCCTGTGCAGCTCCAAGTAAATGTCAATGGTTGTTATTATGAATTATTTGTCAAGCAACCTCCCCTTCCCCGCCCCCCCAGGGAAAGTTTTAAGAAGTTGATAGTCTTTGAAAGGTGCCTTGAAGGTCAGTAAATACAAGCGTTGATAGACAAGTAAGTGGAAATAAGGTTTGGAATCAAGGAACCATGGTTGAGAACACCTTGCCATTTAAATCAGGGGACTATAAAAACACAAGTGTTTCTCCTTGACGCACAAATGCCATTTGAGCATAAATCGTAAAAGATGGTTTCTCATGCAGCCAGGACCTGAACCAGAAACAGAGCTTTATAAGTCAAAACCAACACCTCAAATTGTACCCACACACAAATGGGAAGATGATGCCAACTCCAGAGCACATATGTAAAATACTTCCAATGAAAGATACTGTTTAACACAGAAATAGCTACACTATGTACCCTCCACCCCCACACAATCCTTCTGTAAACCTGGCTATGCAACAGTGGGCATATTTCAGTTAAGGAGCTAGACACAGTTCCTTTCTTCTGGTTGCTTCTGAAAGTCAATGAGACTTGGGGTGTAAGTCACTAAGGGTAAAATTTTCAAAAGCACCTAAGTCTCTGACAGCTAACTCCTAGCCAAGTCACAGTATGGCCAAACACTGAGCTAAAGCATTGAACTGCACTGCCCAGTTCTGATGAAACAGATGAACAGCTGAGTGTCATATATGTCTTTCAGGCACCCCAGCACACATCCTATTATTACTCCTACTGTGTCCATAGACACACCAATAAGATAAATGACAGAAGTGACAGAACAGAAACCTATGGGATCCCATGACAGCTCATGGGACAGATTAACGGCCATCCAATGCTACCCACTGAAACTACTCAAAGGAAGGAACAGATCCACTCAACAATAAGTCATCTACTCTACTAAAGCCTCCAACTTAATGGCCAACAGCAGCAAAGGCAGTTGACACAGCTAGAAGAATCAACATTTCCTTGGGTCAACCACCAGCTGATATAATTTCCGTAGATTTACATATACATCCTGTAAACCCAGTGTAACATTCCTTCCCCCCAAATTCATACGTACCTGATCACAGCCTACATTCACCAATTCCTGCAGCATCTGCCTATTTACTTCTGTAGATGCTGAGGTGCCTGACTCATTAGCAAAAGGCAACAAAGAATATCTGATTTCTCGTAGTGCTTTCTGATAAGGTCCAAACTTGGCTGTTGATCTCATTTGCTGCTGCCTGGCAGCATCTTTCCCTATTAAAATTTTAGGGTCCAGAGAAGTTTCACTGCCTGGTCCAACAGGTAATCCCTGACCTGACGATTTGGAAGGCTGCTTTAAACCTTCACGAATCTCTTGTAATCTTTGCCTGCTGTTTCCAGAATAAGTTGTAGCAGGAAAAGTCTTTGGCCTCATTGTTAATCCAGTTTTTTTTCAGCATAAATACAATCTTCTTTCTTTTTAGAATAAAGTAGTTTTAAAATAAGTGTTCCTCTCTTGATGATCCTTAAACAAATAGTTTCCACTCAATGTTTTTAGTTCAGTTCACAATCTTCATGGCTCCTACAGAGAATGAAAAACCCTGGAATCATCATTGTGCAGACTGTTTGTACCTGAAACAGAAAAGAAAATATAAACTTAGTCTCACACATTTTTCTGCCTGTTTTAAATGGTTTGCCACTTAAGGGACTTCAGCATGACGACAATGACAGTTTAACCAGTGAAAGCAGTAGAACCAGAAAGCAGTAGAACCTGACTATACCAGTCCTCAAAGCTGAACATCATTTAATAAATTTCACTTATCTGTTTTCCATTCAAGGATCTCAAAGTTGACAAGAACTGGTCAACATTTTTCAGGTAAACATTTTTTTAATGTAAAATGAACTTTTTTAGAAATTAAATTTTCACAGAAAAGAGTTATTTCTCTGGAAATTTTTGGTTTTCAAAAACCAAAAATATTTTCAGTTTTCAAAAACTGACAACCAACAACCTAAAACTTTAAAAATCTCACTGTATTTAAAAAGCTTGGTGGCAAGTTTCCTGTACAGCTGCATAACTAAAAACAGGCCAAATCTATCTTTTATTTCATAGCTAGTGAAGGGTATATTCATGCTGAGGCTTTGTATGTCAAGATCTTGCCTGAAGAAAAGTTCTTGTTTGTCTTACAATAGCTGAGTTATAAATCCCAGAAAAGGAGATTTATAATGGCAATACTGACAACTCTAACTATAGCATTTCCTACTATTTCAAAACCAAGGTCAGCAGCAACAAGACATTCTGACATTCCACTGTAACATCTAAATAAATCTTGAAGATGAAGAACTTTACTCTCCTTGAGTAATACCTTTCTCTACTGAGTCAGGTACAACTTAGTGTGAGTAACTAATCTGATTCTTGCAGTGTAGGGTTTTTGCATACTAATCTTGAGCAAAGGTGGCCGAATCTAAATTAAGATGAGTAGTGACAAAGAATAAAAATCCTAATCTGGAAACAAAGAAAGACTGCTAGCTTGTCAATCACAAGTATGCTTACTCTGACACAGGGAAAGACACTCAATTCAGTTTCTGAGCTCTTTGGTGGGGTGTTTGTATCATCATATGTCTTTATATAATGCTTAGCACAATGAGGCTCTGACCCTGATGGGGGTCTGCTGCCATTACCAGAATAATAAATATTAAATAGAATATTCAAAAGAAGATTAAAAGATCCACCACACTACTGAAACTGCTTCCACACCTCTGCAGCTGCTACCGTTTGGCTGAAAGTTTTAGCCCCAAAAGGAGAGTTCTTCCATAAAGATTATAATCCATCATTTTCACATGCTTATATCAAAGTGCCAACAGACCCTTAACTCTAGCTTCTGCTATTGTGAAAACTATAGTATTTCTCATCTTGAGCTGGCTGCCAAAAGAGTACTGCCAGAGCTTTAAATCAAATGTGTCCTTTAACTTTGCTCACTATTCCCCAATTTAGGGACCAATGGAACCATCACAGAGCTTGGAGAACATTTGCAGATTTACACCATACATCCTCATCGCCCATCGTGCTGGGCCACTATCCTGAAGGCCAAAGGGGTCTGGACAAGTCTATCTTTGAAGCCCAACATCACTCCCTAATTGGCAGAGGGTTCATTGCTGAGTGACATAAACTAGGAGGACTCAGCATGGAACAGAACACAGTGGCGCTACACCATACACCAAGCCACAGCTCACTTTGAGGAGAACAGACGTGCTCATGAGACAGAAAAGCAACAAAGGAGGAAAGAAAGGACACAACAGTCAACTATGTCTCCTCCAAGATCACACCTGTCACTTCTGTGGGAAAATCTGCAGGGCACGAATTGGGCTCCTCAACCACCTAAAAACCCACCAATGAACCCCCGTGGCAGACATCATCCTCGCATCGAGGGATAGCGAAGATAACATAAAGCCTTTCCTCTTAACCATGGGCTGAACCCTTTTAAAATGGGAAAAGAGGATAGTGGAATCAAATCCAAGTCTCCAGTACGACTGTAAAAACAACAAGGAGTCTGGTGGCACCTTAAAGACTAACAGATTTATTTGGGCATAAGCTTTCGTGAGTAAAAACCTCACTGATGCC